TATAGACCAAAAATAATTACTTTCAATGACAATGGTAGGATTTTAGGAGACATAATTTATATGTACAACTGAGTACACGCAGGAAAATTACAAAACGTAGTTAGGTGGCTCCCTAGGGTTTTTTAATTTACTACACTATAGTATTCAGGAGACTCCTGTTTCTTCACTTTACATGACACGAAGACGAAATTTATTGGAAACATTGACAATGTTCTCCTGAACATTACAAATTGCAACTTTTATGCTAAAAATCTGTTGTCATGGCAACAGCATGCTTAGAATAAAGCTCAAAATGTGTCTTTTTCAGGTCATTTTAAAACTTTGCATAAAAGATAATACTTGTAGGCTATAATAATTTTTTAAAAAAATTAAATCGATACGTTTCTTAGAAAATTTAAAAGACGTCAAAAATCAATATTAAAAATTTTCCCTTCGATTTAATTTTAAGAAAAAAATATTGCACTTGTTGTGCCGATATTAAAAAATGTGCAAAGTTTTAAAAAAATTCACCGAAGGAAAGCGGAGAAATTTGGGTTTAATTTTGGCAATTTTTACTAAATTTTGACGCAAACAATAAAATACCACAACTGACGTGTACGTACAAGTATTTTGTATAAAACAACAAGGCATAGACCTTATTCATAAATCGTGATGAGGCCTCGTATCCTAGGAAACGGGAACAAAACGCGGGAAAATTGACAAAATGTTTTTTTTGCTGTCGGCTATGGCAGCTTTTTTTCGTGAATATTACGGCTTTTTTCGAAAATATATCTATAAAACTGAGCTTGAAAGTTGAAAAAAATACTTATGAGAAAATATAACATGATATTTAAAGCAAAAGATGCTGGAGTCAATCGAAAAAGGAAACCTTTGACTTTGTATTATTGTCGTAGTTTGTATGGCCGAAACAAACAACCAACAAGGCTACAAAACGTCTATACAACACCAAAATCGTAAGAAATATGAAACAATTGTTGAAGAAATAAGATTACAACTCACTCAGGTAATGTAGCCTTCATTTTTTAAACTTGTAAGCTGCTTGCAGAATGTTATCGAGCCACAGTCATAGTTCATATTTTTCCGTACGAATCAATAACATTTGACGTTCTCTTGTGATTTTTGACTGTTATTTTCTTTCATATTTATGTCAAATTCGAAAAATTATACTTCCATTCCATAGTTGTCTTGATTCTTCACGGAATAAACCTTTATATTGACGTTAAAATCTCAGTAAAATACTGTTTTTCGCTTCTGGATAAACACCATCGCTACGTTGTCATTTTTCCACACAAAAATGGGAGAAAAACCGGTCGCTTTTATAATATACTCGTTTACCGCTTTCGTTGTGGGCACAAAGTCTTAAAATACACACAAAAATCGTTATAAATCGCAAAAAGCAACAAGAAACAAGCCGTTAAAGTCGACACAATAGCATCTGAATTTGGCTTGTCAAGCAGTTTTCGCTTGTTTTCCCGCGTTTTGTTCCCGTATCCTAGGATACGAGGCCTCGTCACGATTTATGAATAAGGTCTATGACTTTTTTGAAATCACAAAATATTAATTATGTTTGATATACGGTTTATAACTGTGTCGGTTAATAGTCAACTAAGCGTGGATTATACATGTAAAATTGGCAAAGATATTTAGGTAATTACTGGTTATGACTTCTTGGTATTAATTTGAAAAATGTTTGTCAAAATTCGTCCTGTGCGAGTTAGTACTATCGTTGGATGTTATCGCAAAATGCCCGTTCAAATTTCAGTTTTTATAGTGGTATGTTTGGAGTTTCGGCCCTGCTCAAAAAACTTCCAGAATACCGCTTGAAAAAAAAACAAGTTTACATTATCTTCTTTTGAAACATCACATCCAAGTATCGTTGTGGCTTTTAGAACTCTTTTTATGCTTTAAACTAAAGCAAAATTCACACTTTTGTTTCGAAAAGAGTTAAAACACAACGTTCGTTCATATTTTGTCAAGTCAGTCAAGTCCATAGATTATATAAATTATTATATATTATCTATCATCTGTGGTCAAGTCACACGAGTTTTAGTTTACATATATATGAAGAACGTAACCCCCGGAAATAAAACCCTAGGAAACCACCTTAGGCCAAATAAAAAAAATACTTGATTAGCGTCACACTCTCCCAAATTTTCAGAGGCGGGCGGGCGGATTTTTTTTTTAATTTTTACTCGTTTTTTAATTTTTTAATAGTATTTTTGGAGGGGATGGGGGCGGTTTTTCCACCATATCGGTGATATTTTTTGTACTGATGTTGTGAAGGCCGCCATTTTGCTTTAAGAACCTTGTATACCCAAGCCTACGCGCGCCTATCGATCAGTATATAGCGCGAAGGTCTGAGCATGAGAAAAATTTCAAATATTAAACTGTTTTAAGCTGTAAAACGAAGATATTTACATAAAAAGGAAATAAAAAAAAATTCAGAGGCGGCAGAAAATCGAGAGGCGGGCGGTGACGCTAACCAAGAGGCAGGTGTAAAAGTCGGACCGGATCGCCAGTGCGGGTCGGATTTAATGATCAATCATACGGCCAATATGATCAAACCCCTGATTTTTAAAGGATTTTCCTTTTAAGTTTGACCCTGCAATGTTCAATATATGAAATCAATTGATTTTCCAGTGCTATCACGATCTAAACAATCCCAGCTTGATTTAACTAAATATATGTCGGCTAGGTTTTATTCATTTCCTGCGTGTACTCAGTTGCACACATACAATCTCCCAAAATCCTACTATTCAAAGTAATTATTTTGGGGGGTTTTCAACCACTAGTAATTTATTTTTATGTATACATTAATCAATGACTCATCAAACACCATTTAGTAAGTTATTAATTTCATGAATGAAGCTCATGCATAGATCATGTTTGTGGTACAAACAGCACAAATGAGTATTCATCAAAATATGTATACAACTAGATAATTACACTGACTATCGATTGTTTTTTTAATTTCGTCACTCAAGCACTGTCTATAATTATTTTAATTTTTTTTTATTTTGTAAACTTGGTTTAAAAAAATTAAAAAAAAAATTGATAAGGCCAAATAAAAAAAAATACTTGGTTAGAGGCAGGTGTAAAAGTCGGATCGGATTGCCAGTCCGGGTCGGATTAGGTCGGATCGTGCAGGTATAAAAGTCGGACTGGATCGCCAGTCCGGGTCGGATTAGGTCGGATCGTGCAGGTATAAAAGTCGGATCGGATCGCCAGTCCGCGTCGGATTAGGTCGGATCGTGCAGGTATAAAAGTCGGACTGGATCGCATTGATGACCGAATCGCTAGTCCGGCCGTGCCAAATTGCCAAAACGAAAATACACGCTTCACATGTGAAATTTGAAGATGCAGAACTCTGATCAGAAACATCTACACTATTGTTTTCATTAGACATTATACTTATATGCAGCTTTATTATCACAAAATTTTAAAATAGCCATGGCAATAGCTGGATTCCGTCTGGTATAAATATGAAACGAAAACTATCGGACGGATAAACTCGAAAAAATAGGAGACCCTCACCATCCAAGTTTCTTTTGAACGTCACGAGCAGAAACCCGTCTTGATTTATTCGTCTTCTGAGACGAGTTTCCCGTCTTGGACGGACTGTCTTCTAATATGAATTTAGCTAATGACGCGTAGACGTTAAACAATGGGACTCGACTAATATAAAGCAAAGCTTAAAGTATAATTCACCGTCTTTACATAACATTTTCCCAACACAAGTAAAGGCTTTTAAAGTGCCCCTAACCTGTTCTATCCATTTTTCCGATTTGCCACGCTGTGTAAATAACGCGGGAAAGATGCAAACTTCCATTTGTGTAAGTAACATTTCCCGGAATATCCTGATATTTTCTGATATTTCTAAATTTTCTAAAGATCCGACCTGATCCGACTTGGTCCGACCTAATCCGACCCGGACTGGCGATCCGGTCCGACTTTTACACCTGCCTCATTAAAATGACCAAACAGACAATTATCTCTTGGATGCAAATGTAAACATTCTAATAAATACTCATTGACATTTGATAGATTTGTAGTACTGTTTGCCCATTTGGAAAAACCTAATATGATACTTCATGTCCGATATGTATTTGGGGAGGTGAACCAGTGGCGCCGTCAGGGGTCAATAAGGTCGGGACCGCTGGGACCGACGGTCGCAGGCACATTTCAGAACGGACAACTTTCTTGCAGGCACATTTTGCCAAACTTTTAAAAAAATGAGTTATACTTAAAAAAATTATCATGACTCTGATCTTATTATGTATTGTACTATGAAATCTTCATTTATCACAATTAAGCTATTAAAATTTAAAATTAAACGAAACTACTTAAAATTAAACTACTAAATATTTGTTAGTTGGTGTACTTAAACGATAAAAACTCCACAAAGGCACAAACAACCACTACATTTTGGTTCATGATTGTTTTATATGGATTTGCTTTTAAAAAGCGCCTGCAGGTGTGTTTTTCTCGGACCAGCGGTTACGTAAAATAATTATTCAAAATGGCGGCAGCCAGGTTGTTTACAAAATTGACAAGGAATTCAGGTGAGTTCTTCTTATTTTCTCTACTTATAGACACTTTTTAAAAAATTTATGAATGGTTAAATTACTTTAATGGTTAGAAATTAGAATGTATAGACCAACTATACTGTATAGTTGCATTGTAAACTTTAATAATTAAAGTCAACAGTGTATCAGTTAATGGTAGATTATACTCATTAGTCATTATAGTATGTAATGTAATAAAAAGTTAATTCATAAATTGTAAAAATGTCCCCTCTGCCTTCTGGCATGGCGTGATAGTAAATGATAACGATCCCAATATTAGTTTACAACATCGATGTCAAAAAAGTATATTTTTCAAAACTTTCTTTCAGTATATGAGCATTATGAGGCATATGAGTGATATGACCATTGACCCAGACCGTATATCCATCAGTAAACTTTAATGGTAGTATATGCTAATGATTCCCTAATGGCCTAATGGATGATCATTACCGTCGCAGCCATGCGAAGACAACTGACGTTGAATGCCGTGTTTGTAGCAAGACACTTATACAACAGAACTACCAAGCTCATTTGAAAAGAAAACATCCCAATGAAGATTGTAACGACCTTCGCCCTAAAGATCAAAGAACGCTTTTCTCGTTTTTTGGAAATCCATCAAAAAAATTAAAAGATGATGCGAAAGAAGGTGACGATGCTTTACTAACGAAATCCCATGAAAACAACACCGCAACTGATGCTGAATTTGGCAACATTCAAGAATCAGACGAATTAAACGAAAACCAAAGTGATCATACGGAGGAGTGTGAAGCCAAAGGCGACGAGCGTGGTAAGCTTCAGCCAGATCAGTTGCAGCCCCAAGAGGAAATGTTTGATCAGCGGAAGTACAATCAAGCAGAAAGTCCCAAAGAAAGCGATGGTGAAAGTCTTGAAAGTAGGGTGAGCACGAAGAAAATCCTAGAACAGCTAATAAATAAGGTAGACGAACTAACAGTCGAAGTAAGAAGAAGCAAAAAAGACGCTGCACCAATTCCAGTTCCAGGAACTATTGATAGAAATGACAATCTAACGAGAGACCTCTTATTTCAATGTACTTCCGTTACTGAAATAACTGATAAATTAAGCGAATTTTCTTTTGAAAAAGAAAGATCGGTCGTGATATGCAATGTATGTGTGAAAGCTGAACAAGCAAGACAAATTCGGCCTGCCAAATTGGTGCATGGAGTCTTCTCCTATGATCCAGAGATGGACGAAGACCCTCTTTCTAATCCCGAGTTTAATCGTGATGTACAGTCGGAAGCTTTTCGAAATTTAAAGAAACACCTTAGACGGCATTTAATTGGGGTATTGCACAACAGTAATTTGGATGACGCTGCCTCTGCGGAAAATTTGAAGAACAAGGAAGAGAGGCGGGAACGCTCAGTTGGAATGAAGATTGGAAAGACTTGCTACTATCTGTTTAAGAAAGGAAGACCAGATACAGACTTCCCACATTTACTACTTCTCCAGTCAATGAATGAGCTAGATGTCGGCGAAATCAATCATAGTGAACAATTCCCTGCTAAGTTTCTTCCCTATGTCGCAGAAGAGGTTGAACACAGACTGAATAGTTTTCTGCATAATCGCCTTGAACAAACCGGTTTTCGACCAGTTGGAAAAGTAATTGCGGATAAAGCTACCTTTAAACACCGAACGCGTCAGTTTGTTTCTTTTGTTACTGTTGTACCTAACTCAACCGACCTTATTCAGCCAATCTTCCTCGATATTCATGTGGTTACGGCAGGGCATACAGGTCTGGCCATTACAAAGAGTTTATTTGATCTTTTGAATAAAAAGGACATTACTGCGGAACAATATCAAGGAGGCTCTTATGATGGACAATATCATCACCTTTCCGTTCCTGAATTGTTAGATGGTCACTTTGGGTTCACTGGTGCCAACCGGAAATACTCAGACTGGGACCCAATGCATATCGCTGGTACTAGAGATGTCGCAATTAGGAAAGAAACGCAGTATAGCTGGCTCGTTCAAATTACTGAAGATATCTCGTCATTGTTCAAAGCAATTAACTGGGGACAAGAATTTGAACATTTTTTTTCTGTAGCTGAAAGGTTGAAATCGGATGAAAGTTTTGAGGCAGATGTCTTTCGCGGTTTCCCTATGTTCTACAGCGAGACCAAATTTGCGAACCACTGTGCAAAAGTCTATGGGCAGCTTCGTAAGGACTATCCAGCCCTTTTTAGTACATTGGAGGAAACCCAAATGCATAACTCTGGTGCCAGGGATGCGAAGAGCAGACAAACTGCGGCAGATGCTGCGCAGCTCAAGAACAAAATTGCGAACAAGATGTTTGTTTTAACACTCTCTGGTGTCTGCGATATTTACGACACGTTTGGCCATGGCATCAACATCCTACAAATCGTGAGCATTCTACCACATGAACGGTTCGACAAATTTAATGAAGTTTGCGTAGAGAAGCTGCTGCAAATGTCGAAGGTCATTGAAAGTCATGAAAAATGTCCTTTGTCCAAAGATGGAAAGAGGAGTTGTTTATGGCCAAAATACCACGGTGACCTACAGAGTGTTCTCACCACTGGCAAATACCGAGGTATTCCAATTTTGGACGATAATCCCGAGCAGAACAGGACAAGACGTGGGTTTTTTACAGTTTTGCAAAACCAAAGAATGGACGTAGTGGCAACAGCAACAACGCGTATAAAGAAGCTGGCAGAAAGGTTAAGCGAGGAATTAAGCGTCTCTGTTTTCGACGACCAAGCCACATCTTTGGTTGAACAACTAAGACCACTACTCGATTTGAGAAGATTAGCAAACAAAGTCAAATTGCGAGGATCGACCATGATTGGATCTCTGGAGGCAAGAACATTCGTCAAAAATGGAAAGAAAATTGCGTCAAACATCATCCAAATACCCGATGTCGAATTAGCTGCCCAATATAAAGAATTCCTGCGTCGTTTAGAGAAAGTGACGAGCCGTATACAAGAGAAAGATCAACCTGATAGTATGGGGGTGTTGAAGATGTTCCTTGACTCGGCAAGAGGACTATTCTTGTGTAGAATACAAAATTATGGATAGATTTTTAAATGAAATGAACCTCACTCAACTTATTAAATCGCCAACGAGGATCACTGATGCAACTCAATCATTGCTAGATGTTATCCTAGTGTCGTCGAAGTCAATAGTGTACCGAAGTGGAGTATTACTTACATCAATCAGTGACCATCTACTTGTGTATGCTGAACTTAAGATTAAGTCTCCTAAGCAACCTTCGCAATACATTACAGCACGTAGCTTTAAAAATTATGTACCGAATTATTTTGCAGCTGATCTTTCGGACAAATCAGATTGTCTCCTATCTATTTTTGACGGCGACGATGTAAATGCTAAACTAAACATTCTTAACTATGCGATCCAGTCTACACTAGACGTTCATGCTCCAATTAAAACAATTAAGATCCGTAACCGACCATGCCCATTTATTACCCAAGACCTCAGAAACCTTATGAAAGAGAGAGATCGATTACATCAACGATTTCTACGTACGCGGGATATTATAGACTGGGTCAATTATAAGAGCTACCGGAATAATGTGAAGAGAGATCTTAAGAAGGCGGAGAATGAGTATAACTCTAATGAAGTACGGCAACATAAAGATAATCCGGGGTCTCTATGGAAAATAGTAAACCGTCTTATACCATCAAAAGGAAAAGAAAGACAAATCTATAAAGGAGACCATAAATCTCTTGCAAATGATTTCAATCAGTTTTTTTCATCGGTTGGTGAAAATGCAGCAAGGGCGTCTTCTCATCTAGCAGATACTAACAACATCAATCTACGAGAATCAATCGAATCAGTCGTTATAACTGAAATCGACCAATTTAAGTTTAGAGCCGTAACTTGCCACGAAGTACGTCGAGTAGTTTTATCGTTACCTCTCAATAAATCATCTGGTCCGGATAAGATTAACCCACGGATCATAAAGGACTGTCTTCCGGTCATTTTGGGTCCTTTAACGGAAATTATAAATTGTTCCCTTCGTACTTCTACTTTTCCTCTGGCATGGAAAAAGGCAGAACTTATTCCTATTCATAAAGAAGGTGACTACGAGGTACCCTCAAATAATCGACCAGTTTCCCTTCTTGTAGTCGCATCTAAAGTCTGTGAAAGATTAGCTCTTGAGCAATTTAGCTGTTACCTAACAAGCAACAACCGACTATCCTCCCACCAAAGTGGAAATAAAAAACTTCACTCGACAGAGACATTAAACGTTTTTATCACTGACACCATCTTAAAGGCCATGGATAAACAGAAACTCTCAGCTCTAGTGTTGCTTGATCTCTCAAAAGCATTTGACAGTATAAACCATCAGAGACTACTTCATAAACTATCAAATGTCGGAGCATCCAAATCAACAGTAAACTGGTTCAGAAGCTACTTAACAGACCGTTTCCAATCAACCCGTATTAACTCTACGTTATCAGATCCATTACCGATAACTTATGGTGTACCTCAAGGGGCCATTTTATCGCCATTGCTCTTTTGTATATACCTTAACGACCTACCCTGTGCATCTTACAATGGTGATCTTGAATCATACGTTGATGATACGAAAACTTTGTTATCGTTTCCTTTAACGGAAGCTGACACTGGAATTAAAAATCTGGAAGAAGACCTACATAAAATTGCGTCTTGGTGCTGTGAAAACAATCTTTTGGTGAATCCAGATAAAACAAAATTCATGATCATTGGAACCAGGCAGCTGATGAACGAACTTGATGTCAATATTTCGATCTCTTTTATGGGGAAGATTCTAGAACCTGTTGATTTTGCCAAAGATCTAGGACTTCTAATGGACAGTCACCTAAGTTACGATAAGCACATATCGAATCTAGTGTCGTCCTGCCTTTATAAACTGTGCCAGATAAACAGAGTTAAAAATAATTTTGACAAGGGAACACTTACAATGATAATCACTTCATTAGTGATCAGTAAACTGCTCTACTGTTCCACTGTGTGGTCAAATACAACATGCACTAATATAAAGAAACTTCAATCTATTCAAAACTTTGCATGTAAAATAATCACAGGATCCAAGAAATACGATCATGTAAGCCCATTACTCCAAAACCTTGAGTGGCTCACAGTTGACAAATTACTCTATTTCCGCCTGATGCCGTAATGACTTTTAAATGCATGAACAACTTAGCGCCGAAATATCTTTGTGACATGTTTGAGAAACGATCTTGTATTCATAATCGGTCTACGCGGAACTGCAACTCAATACAGATACCATTGTTTAAAACAGCGTCAGGGCAACGGTCATTTGCTTTTAGAGGAGCTTCAATTTGGAATAACTTAGACACTGAGCTAAAGAAATGTACATCACTTAAGACATTTAAAAGTCAACTTAAAGAACACTTACTGTCTACTTAGACTATAGACTACTTCCTATTTTAGACTATTAAAAACTTAGATATCAGTCATTTTTATTCCTAACTTTGTAGAAACTGTAAATATTTTAAAATTGTAGTTTTTATAAAATAATTTTGTAAATGGGTTCTGAAAAACCCTTTTGGGAGAAACCATAAATTTTAATAATAATAATAAAAGGACTTTATCTCGGAATTGAAATGGTTATGCATGTCCTTTCAGTAGCCTCCATCTCAATGTCAGTTGAATCAGTGGTTGAGTCGCACGTTTCTGTGTATGAATCACGAATCAACAAGAAGAGAAATGTATCAGAGGACAGAGGACGGCGGGAGATGGAGATTTCTTTGAATGGTCCCATAGTTTCTCGTTGTGGAGGAGTTGTGAAAGCCGCAATGACGGAGTATTGGCGAAAGGAATCAAAGAGAGATGATTTTTGGCATTTCATCAGGAAGTCTGAACGTATCCAGCTTCAGCCATTTGAAGTTTCGAAAGTGATCGATGGAAAGTTCAAAGAAAAATCAAAACTTCCAATTATGGACAAATAACTTTAAATATGTCTTTAGCTTGGTAGTTTTCTCGTTAGTCGTTATTGTCGTTTGTATATTAGTATATATTTCATAAATTGTATTAATTAGTCTGGCGACGTAGTCAGCTTCAGCCATTTGAAGTTTCGAAAGTCATTCATGGAAAGCTCAAAGGAAATCAAAACTTCCAGGTTACAATTATGGACAACTAACTTAAAATAAGTCTTTAATTTACTACCATTACTAGTTTGTAGCGTCTGGCGACGTAGCCGACTAAACGGCACCTTTAGTAACTTACGGCTGATGGCTCACGTCTTGATTTTACATTTTGCATGCAGACATTTTGCAGGCACATTTTCAAAAAAAATTTGCGGTCCCAGGCACAAAAATAAGTTATCGACCCCTGGGCGCCGTGGCCGGCGGCGGGGGCGGGGGTTGTTGAAACCCGTCGGCGTCGGAAAATAGTCAATGTTGTCGGAATCTTCGTGGTGAAACATCGGAAAAAGTGCTAAAGAAACGGGAAAAGTGCTACGAAAGCAATTGTAATTGTACGGTCCAACCCAAATCTCTTCGGTACCAACCCCGAGTATAAATAATGAACGTCCCCTATCAATTGGGAAATCCGCTCACCAATAAGTGAGAAACTAGTAAGTAAACTAAATCAGAAAACCAATAAAGCAACATCAGTTATATTCTTTAGTAACTATAAATAATAGCTTAAAATTATTTCAGGATCGAGCTTGGATCTCAGTAGAACGGTATCTGGTATCAGTCAGTCTTCAGCCAGTCTTAAAATGGCTACATTTGACTCAATTTTATCATATAACTACATTTGACTCAATTTTATCATATAATGAGCACATTTCTAATTTAATTTCATCATGTATAAGAAAATTGTGCAAACTGAGCCGTGAGAACCGAGTGAACTGAAGACAGCTTTGATGTTAAAACTTGCAATCAATGGACCATTTGCATTATAGACTAAATTTCATCACAGCTTGAAAGAGCATCACAAAATTAGTAATATTCCAAAGTTTCGTTGCGAAATGTTGTAAAATGCGGATAATATAGCCTTGCGCAGCCTAGTCCCAGGCTCTCGCGCTGAACGCTGCTTTAAGTGTTTTATAAGTTTTACATACCACATCCGCGTATCCGCGTTTGCTTCAGAACGACTAGGACAAGGCTGAGCCTTGCGAAGTTTTTCGTTTTTCAGTAATTTTGTATTACGCACGGGAAATTGATAGCCCAATCGGGTGTTGGGGCATCAATTTCCCGTTTGTAATACAAAATGACTGAAAATTGCAAATTTCGCAAGGCTATATTATCCGCATTTTACAACATTTCTCAACGAAACTTTAGTGGAATATTACTAATTTTGTGATGCTCTTTCAAGCTGTGATGAAAGTTTTGTCGAGATGTTGGTGATTAACAAATTGACATTCGGTTCCACGATAACACCAATTCATCAAAAAATTACAATCAGTTCAAAATTTCGCAGCCCAGATCATTACAAAAGTTAGAAAGTTTGATCATATTATAGTTTACAAGAACTCAACTGGCTTCCCATATAATTACTACTAGTTGTAGTAGTTCCTCATATATACGAGGAAACGAAATGGCCGTCGGTCACGACTTTTCGAGCTCTACAAAAATCGGAAATTTGTCGTCTCTGAACCTTGACTTAGACATTATTAGGTCTTTGAAAGGTTGTGGTCACTTAACGTATGACGGAACCCGAATTAAATGGTCGCAGGATCTTCAATCACTAACGAATTTCGTTGAAAATATTGTCGGCCTACGAGGCAATTGGTCATCACCTGGTGGTAAAGCTAAGAGGTTTACCAGCGTAAATTTTGATCTGATCGCGACGTGGTACCCGGGCAAACAGAATTCGCTATTATTCCAAGGAAAGGATGGTGATCTGCTCAAGAATTATCTGGTGAGTGTCTTAGATATAACTTGTATTGGCCAAACAACCACGGATACGGACACTGATTTTATGACCAACATAGCGGATTCGGTATTTGAAACAGAGACTGCCGAGATATCTCCAGTTAAAACATGCGAAATTATCACTAACAATAACCCGGCAGTTACTGAATCGACCCCGTTGAAACATCTCAGTTGGTCGTACAATACTTTTACCAACGATATGAAAGGGGTTAAAGCGGACATAACAGTTATTCAAAAACAAATAACATCTATAAACAATGTTAATACCTCTATCAACGCGATTATAGAATCTATTAGTAAAGTTTTGGACTCTACAGAAAACCGTCAAATATCGTACGACACCAGAATGGAGACCTTGCTTAAGGAGTTTTCCATAATTTTAGACGAGAAAAACAGAGCGATAAACGAGCGAGATATCACTATTAAACAGCTTCAAGCGAATTTGTCAGAAATTTAAAATGATAGAAACTCATTAAATCTTAAGAATTCACCAACAAAGCATGTTGACAATAAAAGTAAGACTGCATCGCCGCCAATGCAGCCCTTGATGTGTCAAATGAATAATATTGAGGATTTAATCAACTTGTCTAAAATTAACGATCTATGTGATATTGAAATCGATGTCTTGGGCGATGCATCCAAATCTGATGATATGCTTCTGAGTCCAAATAATTCTACTATAAAGGAACTTGAGGCCTTTATTGACAAGTCTTTCTATAGCGCCTCTGTCGAGCTATCTAATCCTGTCCAGCCGACGGACTTCTCTACTCTAGCGCAAAGACGCTTTGAAGAGGACCTGCCTAAGCCCGAAGCTCAATTTCTAACATTTAAAGAAAATGTTGAAACTCGGCTGCAAGTTTTGTCGTACAAACTCTTTGAACAGAATAATACCATAAATATAAATAAACAAGAGCTATGCAAATTGACCTGCAAAAATTTACATCTTAAATCACGTATCTCGGAGTTGGAGGGGAGCTTGTCGCCAAAGAATACAACAAATGGGAGTAGTGACCTGAGCCCGTGTGAAAAAATAGTTAAAGGAAATAATATCTTAACTGCGAATATAGATGCTTGCGCTATTTCTAGTCGCCTTTCGCCTGGAACAGCTGCATATGTCGATGACAGCGATGAATATGCTATCTCAACTGCGAATGCCGATGCTTGTGCTGTTCCTAGTGACAGTCCACCCGAAAAAAGTGCGCATGCTGATGATGCTTCGGCCCCTATAAGTCAACAGTGTGGTGAAGATAACAACGGAGAATATGATAAAGAGACTTTGAACCGGACTGACAATATCGTCAACCCAGAACGCACAAAAAAGCTCGTAAAGCCCGCCATAATGTGCAATAGTAAGTCAACGATATGTCAACAGAAAATGTATGGGAAATCCCCCCTTCAGGATCGGACAATGCCACAAGATTGGTTAAATTATCTCCCTTTTGTAGAAACCGGTCAAGAGGAAAATGTTAATTCGAATGTTTCGATGCAACTAGATTATAATCCTACGAGAGAGAATCCGGTAGAAACGCTACCATTGACTAAGATGTCACCTCGGACTATTTCTCATAATAATACCAACGTTATTCCCGATGAAGTTCTACACACGCCTATTGCGTTACTGGGCGCTGATTCTAGTAATGTGTGCATGGAAGATCAGTTAAAAGCATATCGACGCAAACATCAAACGGTAAACCGCATAAAGCAATGTCCAAATCCCATGCAACCCAAAAAGGTTAGGTTTTTTAAAGAACAATCAAAACCATACTGTGGTAGAGTTAATAAAACCCGATTCCAGACAGAGTATAACCAGGAGTTTTTTCGGGAGGGAAATGCGTATCGACACACGAACGACTGGCTACATCACTTAAATCTTGTTCGCCGATTAACACAATGACAACACTCCAACAACGGCACCAGGGACCGCACCACCCTTTAACTTTACCTATCCCTATCCCTGTACGAATTACTAACCGAGACACAATCGCATCACAGCGTAACCCAATCGCTAATGAACTTGTAAATCCTGAGCAATTGCGAAAAGTCAGACATACCAAACAAATACCAACAACATTGACATCAGCCAGAATTCATAATCCTGCAAACTGTGTCCAAATTACCCTCGCTACCGCGATGGAATCAACAGTTGCATGTGCTCCAGAAAATGTATTCGTTCCAAGTGTTCTCCTTTCCAATGTGATGTCCTTAGCGCCGAAAACTGATGAGATTCAACATTGCGTTGTGCACGCAAATGAACGCTTAAAATTTGAGTCTACGTTACCCTCCACCAAAATACCAAACCTTTTAATTTGTAATCTCCGCTCCCTGACGTCCAAGGTCGACGAACTTGACGCTGTGGTGTCTTTTAACCAAACGGACATGGTCTGCATTACAGAGACTTGGTTATCTCCTGCAATTCCTGACAACTTGGTATCCTTCTCCAATTTCAATCTGTTTAGGAACGATAGACTGGTTTCAAACGGCGGAGGTGTTTGTGCCTACATAAATAGCAATATCTATTGTAGACGAATTGAGGAATTTGAAAACTCTTCGATTGAATCACTGTGGTTATCAGTGAGACCAAAGAAGCTACCCCGCTCTGTCTCGGTTATCTTACTGGCTGTTGTTTACCATTCAACAGCATCCCGCCAAACTGAAAATGTAGAATTGTATTCACACATTCAAACCAATGTGGACTCATTTTTATATTCCCACCCTGAAGCTTTGGTCCTAATTACGGGCGACTTCAATTTTAGAAGCACGGGTCTCGATGCAAACCATCTTAAAAGAATTGCTGGTCTGACGCAGATAGTCAAGGTAGCTACCAGAGCTGATGTAACTTTAGACTGGTGTTTAACCAACTCAAAGGTGGATAATATTTACGAATCAATCCAACTTCCTCCCATTGGAACCAGTGATCATTATACGATTCTTATGAAAGCCCAACCTTCTCCCTCAAAGCCAGACAATTCACATATATGGAAACGCGATCTCAGAGATAGCAGGATACGGCCTTTTGGACGATATATCACTACATTTGACTGGTCTCCTATCTTGGACATACATGACTGTGATACAAAATATAAAAAGTTTAACGATACAATGACTGTGATGATTGAAAAATTCTTTCCCTTGGAACGGATTAAAGTACGAAAGTGTGATAAGCCTTGGATGACGTCATCAATAAAGTCTGCTATTGGGAGACGCCAAAAAGCCTTACACGAAAGCGGGAAAAATTCAGATATTTATAAATATTGGCGTAATAGAGTCCAATCATGCATTAAAGTTGCACGAAAGATCTACTATATGAGGTCAGTTGAGAAATTAAAAAATTCTAACCCGGCAAGATGGTGGAAAGAAGTGAAAGCCATTGGTGGTCTCTCGTCAAAAAATTCTTGGTATTCTCAGCTATTTTCTGATGATGTTCGGAATTGCGAAGAACTGGCCGAAAATTTTAATAACTTTCTTACTGCCCTTACATCACATTTTGACCCTCTAACTCTCGACGAAATCCAGGAGGGCCTAGAAGTACCAAACCATTACCTCGTTGACGCCCAACAGATCTATATGAAACTTAGTAAAATTAAAACCACAAAATCACCGGGTCCTGACATGTTTCCAAATAAAATCCTGAAAACATTTGCCTTTGAGCTTGCCCCAGTTATCTCAGACATTTTCAACTCATCCATGACACAAGGCACCTTCCCAAGGGCATTGAAGAGATCTATTGTAGTGCCTGTCCCTAAGGTATCACCCCCAAAGAGTATTGAAGACGACCTACGACCAATATCTTTAACATCCCAGATCGCCAAAGTTATGGAGGATTGTACTTTGGACAATTTTTTTCCTGAAGTTGTAAATAAACTTGACACCAAACAATTTGCACTCCCAAAGAAATCAACGACCCACGCTTTGGTCTACCTTTTACATTCAATCTTGGTTGCTCTTGAGAGAGGTTCCTGTACTGCCAGATTGTTCTTTGCAGATTTCAAGAAAGGTTTTGACCTAGTAGACCACAATGTTATTATTAAAGAATTAACCCTGCTTGGTACCCATCCCTCTATAATTCGGTGGATTAAAGCCTTCCTCTGCGATCGCGAACAATGTGTCCGGGTGGGAACTTCTATGTCCTCTTGGAAGAAAACAAATGGTGGCTTGCCACAAGGTACAAAGTTGGGTCCATTATTGTTTGCTGTTCTCATTAATTCCTTGCTTAAAAACTGGCCCAGTAGGATCAAGTTTGTGGATGACACCTCAGCCCTAGAGATTATACCACGTTTTTCATCCAGTTTAATGCCATTAGTCGTAAATGAAATCTCGGACTACGCCTTAGAACGTGGAATGGAACTAAATTATAAGAAATGCAAACCAATGTTGATCAACTTTCTTAAATATAAAGGATCTGATGATGAAAACCCGATCTATGTTGCAGGTAAACCGGTGGAAACTGTGTCCTCTTTCAAACTCCTAGGTGTATGGATATCAAATGACTTGTCATGGAATACTCATGTCGACATGGTATTGAAAAAGGCAAATTCTCGCTTATACGCATTGCGTCTGTTAAAAAAGGCTGGTCTCCAAGCATCTGACATCGTCCAAATATATATCTCATTCATCAGATCCAGAATTGAATATGCATCCCCTGTATGGTCGTCAATACCTAAATCATTATCTGACATTCTCGAATCTGTTCAAAAGAGAGCATTGAGAATAGCTTATCCAGATCTGTTATATGATGAAGCCCTTGAAATTTCAAACTTACAGTATCTGAGTACTCGAAGAGACATCTCTTGCAAGAAATTCGTCGAATCTCTGCGACGTGATGTTTCACCCTACAACCCTTTGACCCAAATTATGGAAATTCGTCCCGGGGTAAAAACTCATGACTATGACTTAAGGAATGACAGAACGGCCGAACAACCTTTATGGTCAGAAACCACTGAACGGTTAAAAAACTTCGTGACTAGGAAATATTATTAGCTTTATAGTTAATTAACAGTCCCAACTAAATAAACATTATTTTATATAATATATATATATGTACATTTTAATATAAATTTTTATGCTATATTAGTACTCCATGTAATTCAGTTTTCCTTTAAAAACTGCAAATTGGTTTTAATTAAACAGATTGATTGATTGATTGATTGATTGATTGAATTCTAATTGGTGGTCGACTGAAAACGTGCTCTTCAGGAAGGCATATATCTTTACGTAAGTATTGTAAATGGTATGATCCTGCAAAATTGCGCTATGGATCAATTATTGTAGCTGCTTTTTCAACTGCAGAACTGATTCCAGTGACACAGTTTCAGGATTTTTACACTTCATAATTGTAGCAATGCCGCTGCTGCACACAGGGCCTCCCAGAAGGGGCACTTTGCCCGGGGCCCCCAGAAAAAGTGGGAGGGTACTAATTCCACCAGGCTATTTACCCCCGGGGAAAAGAAAGCATTAGCGAAGTGTAAAGTTCATCAATGATCGCGGGCGTGGGTTATTGTGCGTGGGTGGTCATCCTCACTGATCTCTTAATACAGCGGACTGTCAAACACTGCGGGTATAATGCTGGAAAAAACTCGAAATTGCTACTTTTCGACCGGATGAGAATGAGTTAAGCTTCAGCCTTCATTATCTATTGTCTTAGTTGCATTTCACACGACCGAAATTCAATGGGTGCGGAGGTATGCAGTCTCTGAGTGACCTCTAGTTTTCTATGTTTTTGGTATTCCTGTATCTTTCTCGGCTATTTTGCACGCTTTTGGCCAAAACTTGTCGAGACAAAAATAAATTCGACGAATGCTAAGCCGGTTAATTTTACTGCATGCTTTTACACGTAGAACTAAGATAAAATTGCTTTGTTCCTTTGATTTATACCTCTTCTTGCTTTCTGATCAATTTTGTATTTTAAAAGCTCTATAGTTTTGTTTGTATTTTTTGGCTAAAAAGCTGAGAGATGAAGCCTAGAATAAAGCGGGAAAAACACAGAAAGAGAAAAGCAGTGCTAGGGACCACAGTGCATAATTGCGTCGCAATGCACGCGCATTAGCCAATCATAGCCATACAGTGAACAGTTGGTTGTTTAATAACTATGGTTGTTGGCTATATCAAGGTTGTGTATCAGAATTTTAATGATGTTTAGCATGACTCATTATAGTTTCCATTACACTGTATAAAATCAATCAGTTACTTAACATGCTAAACACAATATCGTACATTTGGGCATGCATCAGCCTAGACCTAGGCCTTTACTCGGCTGGCTTTGGCAAGTATCTTTGGCAGGTTTGGTCAATTTTGGGCAAGCATTCGGTAATTATCGCAATGGCCATCCTTCCTCCGCCCCGCCCCCAAATCACCTAATCCCAGTACTCTCATGTGAAAATGCGCTGAATATTAAAAAACAAATAAAATAGAAGGTCTAGGTCTAGGCTGTGTATGCATGTTACAATGTGATTGACAAACATGCTAATGAATGTGGCGCCAGTGAACCGTATGGCTGCATGGGTTTTTTCCACCGAGTAAAAACCATTGAGTACATATCAGTGGTAAAAATTGAAAAGGTACCTGAAGCGGTGTATTGTTTACTGACAGAGTGCATCTTGCTGTCAGACGACAGACGTGGGTAAGTGCAAATTGTGTTATAATACAAATGCATTTAAAAATACTCCTTACGGCATGGAGGCCATTGCTGGCACATTGACACTTTGCCAACTTATTTAATATAAAAACTGTGTTTGAGTAACTTAATTAGCAACAACTTTACAGATCATTTGTTATCCATTCGAACGTAGAAGAAATAAACCAGAGGTTTTGTGCAGGTCGCTGCCACGAAACTTTTTTCTTATCGATTTTTGTGAAATTACAGACTTTGTAAAACTACTGATATTATCTGGGCCCCCACACACAAGTGGGAATCCTAATTTCTTTGCGCATATTTTATAGAGGGTCGTTGACCTTGTGATGATTTTCCTGGAAAAGTGATATTATCAGGGTTAATATTAGCCTATAGGCAATTGCAGCTTTTCGTTTAGGCGTGCAGGGGACGATGGGAAGTAAGGTATCACATTGCTGATTATGCTGGAAAAATAGAAATGGTGGCCGTGTAAACAGGGAGTGATAGCTTATACTTGTAAATATTGAAATATTTTGGTTGTTTCGGTAGTTTTTATTGAACATTTTCAGCATAATCAGCACTATGATACCTTACTTCCCATTATCGCCTGCAGGCATAAACTAAAAGCTGGATTTGCCTATTGTATGGATACAGTATGAAATATACTGATTATACTCTAGCTACAGTTCCAAGCAAAATTTGAGAGAATAATGATGACATTATCATGCATACAACTTTCAACTGTTTCATCAATTCATTATATTATTAAAGATTATCGCTGACAATCTTTGCTATTAACTTATCATTCTATGAATGTTAGCTCATTTCATCTTTGAATTTGTGAAATGGTTACACGACACTCGTGATTACAAGGCTTTAAATTCTCACATGACTCCTTAGTGACGTAATCCAATGACGAAATAGAATTCAAAATTAAACGAGACTTACCGAAAGTCGAAGTTTGAATGTAATTCTATGAGTTATTGGGCAAGGAAACTAAGGAGTCACCCACCACTTTTTCCTGACAGCATGAGCCTACATTTATATACAGGGTGTATCAAAAAAAGTAAGACAATTTTGAAATTGCTCTTAATTCCACAATTCTGTTCATGAAATGTAATTTTTTATATGTATGGATTACTTGAGTTATTAAATTATGGAAAATATTAAAAAATTTGAAAATAGTAAATTTTGCTATCCAGGGGGGTGGTCAACTTTTGCTCTCCTAAAAGTGGCTTGAGCACGGAAATGACAAACGGTATTCTTTATTTGAATTCATGTATGAAAAGTTCCCTATTTGTTGCATTTATGTTAAAATTTCGGCAGGTTTTTAACCAGTACAAATCCTCCAAAAAGCCTATGAAAGCGTTACATTTTTCTCTGTTGGTGCTGTTCTTGCTTCATTATGAATTCATTTTTACTCGCATGAGAGTTCCGTGGAATTTCCATGGAATTTGTGCTTTCGAGTTGTTTGTGCTGAAACGCATTCTCTCGTATAATACCCCGTACACTTTGAAATGGCGATGCCACAATTTACCCCGCAGCAGAGAGCTTTTATGCATGGTATCAGAGTTCCTCCGTAGCAACAACATATACTTGGTTCGCCAAAGTTTCACGAACGAATATCCAGATGTACGATGCCCCTCACGTATTCGCCCGTGAAGGGCACCGTACATCTGGATATTCTTTCGTGAAACTTTGACGAACCAAGTTTATGTTGTTGCTACGGAGGAACTCTGATACCATATAAAAGCTCTCTGCTGCGGGGTAAATTGTGGCATCGCCATTTCCAAGTGTACGGGGTATTATACAAGAAAATGCGTTTCAGCACAAACAACTCGAAAGCACAAATTCCATGGAAATTCCATGGAACTCTCATGGGAGTAAAAATGAATTCATAATGAAGCAAGAACAGCACCAACAGAGAAAAATGTAATGTTTTCATAGGCTTTTCGGAGGATTTATACTCGGTAAAATACTGCCGAAATTTTATCATAACTGCAACAAATAGCGAACTTTTCATACATGAACTCAAATAAAGAATACCGTTTGTTATTTCCGTGCGCAAGCCACTTTTAGGGGAGCAAAAGTTGACCACCCCCCTGGATAGCAAAATTTACTATTTTTAATTTTTTTTATATATTCCATAATTTAAGAACTCAAGCAATCCATATATAGCAAAAATTACATTTCATGAACAGAATTGTGGAATTGAGAGCAATTTCAAAATTGTCTTACTTTTTTTGATACACCCTGTAGTACAGGCTAACCCTCCTAATAAATACTCGCAATCACTCGTTGCATTTTAATATCGAATCATTATTTTCCTTGTCCAATAACTCATAGAATTACAATCAAATTTCGACTTACGTTAAGTCTCGTTTAATTTTTAAATTATATCACACAACTCACTCACTCGTACCTCACTCGTTCGTTTTGTGATATAATAACATTTAGCGCGTGAATAAAAGTCGTACGCACGCACTTCCCATGTAGTAATCCATATTTTAACATCCTTAGAATCATCGTTTGAAGTTAAAACTTTGGGAGAACGTAGTAAAATTACCAATGATTGAAGTGATGTAGATTTTTTATTGTTTTTGCTTGTAATTTGCGAAATATTCATACTTTAGTGAACATTGTAATAAATTTCAGTTAAAAATCTTGGCAGTCTTTTTTTTTATTATTATTAATCAAAATCTTTACACACGGTAGCCTATTCAGTAACTATTAAAAACTAACTTTATGTTTACAAGAGGTACTGGCTTTCAAAGGGCCGTGAAATAAAAACGAAATCCTATTTACTGTGATACAATACTAAATTAAGGTATAATTAATTATAATTAATGATCCAACCAATTAAGAGGCTGTCTCCCTAAGAACCGACCGATGACTCTCGGCTCATAAAATGAAATTCTTCGTTACTTTCACAATGAAATGTATTTACCCCAAGAACAAACAAACACTATATGGAATTTTGAAATTTTATTAATTTTTAAAATTTCAGCGACTTTTCGGTCCCGCGCCGTCGGGCAGAAAATCCTCTACCTAAATCAGGAATAAAAATTAGCCGAATTCAAATACATATAATTTTAAAAGTATTCAACCAAATTTTATGATTTTTTCACCCACCAACGTGAAAATTATTCTACTTTGAAACTTGCCTTGTTTTATGATACTTTTACAGAAAGATTATGGCAAACTTTGGCGATAACAAGCACCGGGTGTAAATACGGCTTTGTACGCATATCAAATTCGACTTTAAATTTCTCAAAAGTGGCACCTAAGTGGATTCAGTGACTAATATGGTTAAAAAAAGGGAAGTTTGAAGTACCCATATCCACAATAAAACTTGTTACCAACCGCGATT